TCTAATTGGGAGTTTTAAAGGCTACCGTACCCACTTATTTGTTAAAGATGAAGGGCCCTATCTGTTTTTCATCTTCATCAATACGCCCAACTCACTGTAAAAAAAATAGGTTCCACAAAATTCCTTCATGTTGTCCCAACACAGATTAAGTTAACTTAATTATTTTTACAAACTTAAGTAGATTGAACCTAAAACAATAAATTTGTCCCAAAAAACTCAAGAATTCTGTTAATAAAGCTCTTTTTAAATGAGTTGTTTGAACAAGCAGCAAAAAATATTTTTGAAAGCAGTTTTAAACATTTTTGAATACATCTTTTAAAAATATGATCTACCTACAGTACATCAATTACTCATTACTCATCAATTAGTAAGCATATTTCAGCTGTTCAGTCACATGACAATAAAACCCAACAAACTATAAACCTATCAATCTGTCTGTCATCTTCATCAATATGACCAACTACACTGTTTTTACACATTTATGTGGATAGAACTAAAAACAATTAGTCCCTTTATTAATTCAGTTCCGCCACAGCGGAATGAACTGCCAACTTATCCAGCAAGTTATTACACAGCGGATGTGAAAATTTGAAAAATTGTGTTGATCCAGCTCGTTTTAAATGAGTAGTTTGAACAAGTAGCAAAAATAATTTTTGAAAGCAGTTTTAAACATTTTTGATTACATCTTTTAAAAATATGACCTACCTACATCTACTTCTAAATACATTTAATAGATATCCATCAACAAGTAAACATATTTCTATACATTCACATAACAATAAAACCCAACCAACTATAAACCTATATCTATCAATCTTTCTGTCATCAATATGACCAACTCACAGTAAAAATGGTGGGTTCCACACAATTCCTTCTCGTTGTCCCAACACAAATCAGTTGTTAACTTAATTGTTTTTACAAATGTAAGTGGCTTGAACATAAAACAATTGAGCTGTCCCAAAACAAATCTCGAAAACTATGTTGACTCATGTTAAATAAGTAGCTTGAACAAGCAGCAAGTCATATTTGAGAGTAATTCCAAACATTTTTGAAAACATCTTTTCACTATGACCTACCACAACAATAAATACATTTAATACCTATATTTATCCATCAATTAGTTCATAAACATACAATAATAAAGAAAAGCTACACTCAAATGGATGATACACATAATATACTATTAAGCATAATAAAATAAAATAAAAATCTATACAAAAGAATTGATATATCATGTCTAACAAACAGGTAACTAAAATGTCTAGCCATAGTTCTTCAATCATTGATTCTTAAAGTTTTTCATCTGCTCATCATAATGTACAGTACATTAAATTGCTCCAAACAGACAGCATAGAGACACATGAGGGCATAAGATCTTACCTTTGTGCTAACGATACATAAACAGTCCATTCTTCAGAGCGCGACCTCTCAGCATCTCATCCAAGCTGCTCTAATCCTGTCGCTAAAATGTGCCAATGCATATGCATGAATGCATTGACTGCGCGACATGAACTTATTCTCAGTTGAGCAAACAGCGTACGCTTCCATATACTCAGAGAAGTCCACATCACCTCATGGCTGCTTACAGCGGCAGTGTGTCGGGGATGCTGAGGAGGAGGACGCCTGCACTCATATTGACGCGCGTTGAGAGTTGATAGGAGCACCATGGGGAGAGCGAGCTGCATAATGTGCTCCTCTCACCTCTGGACGCGAGCGCTCCAAGTGCACGTCAGTGTGTGGGAAAGCGCGTGCGTTCAAACGCCTCTGCCCTGCCGGTTCAGTATCAGCCAGTGGACTTTACGTTTGTTATGAAATCTAAAAATCATTAAATGTTTAACAAATGTTCAACACCATGCACACACACAGATATCATGATAAATGTGATGTAAAAAACAGAAATTGATTTCTGCTACTAATCAATTTTGTTACTAATTGTGTTATTCTGGAATGTAAATTAATATGAATACATTTTCGATTAAGCCTTAAATGAACTTTTACAGAAAGTTAAAAAATAAATGCCATAAAATATATACTATTTTGTAGCAGAGACATAGAGCTCCATAAAAAAAGAGATTATTTTAAGGTTTTGTTGGTGATATGCCATTCATTGGTACATGTAAAATGTTACATTTTAATAAGTGACTGATAAAAACAGAAACAGTTTGCTTTCCAATGATCTTTCAGTTGTGCTTTGTGTTGTTCAGCAGACAAAAGTAATTCAAACAGGTTAGGACAACTTGAGGGGAAGCAAATAATGACTGAAGTTGAACTTCTAAAAATTACAATTTATAATAAAAGTATTCAATTAAGAAAACCTTAAAAATGTACTATAATTGCTGTTGTAATTACCAATAGATGTTACATATTCTGAATTTTAGTGTGTGCGTTTGTGTTTGATAAAGAAACAAATGTGCGCAATGACACTGGTATTACATATGTATTACAAATGTAGACAAATTAAACTGTTTTTAAAGTTCACAATTGGTCACATTTTCATTAAAGGTTATGTTTAGTGGAAGGGGTAATGTGAGGGAATATAATATAAAAGTCAGCAAAGTCACAAAAATCACCAAAATAAAATGCACAAGTGTGCGTTCCTGTCCTGGCCACCATGTATTAAGTAATAAAGAGCATCTATTTTACCCCTTTTTCAAGATTTAAGATAAGTCTTTTGTGTCTCCAGAATGTGTCTGTAAAGTTTCAGCTAAAACATCCGTCAAATTATATTTTATACCTTTTGGAATATTGAATTTTCTGCTCTACACACAGCTGTTTTTGTTGCCTGTGCCTTTAATACTAGTTGTACCCACCCACCATTCCAACATGCCTGTGTGCCAACATGCCTGAGTGTGCCTCAATCTCCCCTCGGTTGCGTCAGATAAACAGCACAGTGACAGACATGAAGAAAGCAGATCTCATGTAACGTTTGTGAGAAGTACTGCAGTAAGAACTTTCCCAATGATTATTTAATGTATTTGTTGAAGAGTTGCAACGTTTAGTCAAACGCAATGTTGTTACAAAGTTCACGCAAACACGCAGACACACACACACAGCGCACGTGTAACTTTGCACTGTTTTTGCATGGCAAATGTGACAAAATACAGGTTAATATCCACTGCTTTATTGATATCCGTTATGTTAATATACAAAATAAACCTGATTTAACGACTATAAAACGGAATTGAAGCGTCTTCTTTTATAATTGTACTGACATGCGGCTGTGTCAGTAAAGACGGTAAAAAAATAAAATAAAATAAAAATTTGCTGCAACTCATTAATATTCACTATTTTAAAAATGTTTTAAACTTGTAAAACTCATTAATCACATTTGATGATTATTGATGATCACAGAAAACTGAACAGATCTTTTAATAAAAGTTGCATTTCGCACATCCTGTCATGTTGATATGATTATACGAGTTACTATGGAGACATGTTAATACGCGACTTTGCCAATATTTACAGACCATTTTAGCAATGCTTAAAGCAGCCATTTTTTTATTTAATTTAATCCAACAAATGTTCCCACAAATTTGCCTTTAAAACAAAGTAACAAACACAGAGTAACTGATTTAAAATAATATTTTCATAATGTTTGACGGGAGTATTAATATGTATTTTTAGATGAATAGCACGTTAAAATCAACCAACATACCATATTCCCAATCCTAAGGTATTTATTAAGAGAAGACTCAATTGCAATTTCTTAAAAGTTCTGAAGGAAATACTAAAACACCACAAATACCAAATACCAGTGGAGATGTGAAATTCATCTCGATTCAAACACCACTGAATTACTTGAGAATTTAAAATGGTAGAAATGACAGTGTTGTGCACTGTTAAATTGTTTTCTCTCCTCAGTGTGGCGGATTACATTCGGTCCCAACAGAAGGAAAATCTACCCACTCTCTAGAATGCGAGCAACCGTTTAAATGAAAAATGCATGACCAGACTTTATTCAATTTAAATGAGAAATTAGGATTATTAAATAACAAGGTAAGTCCAAAATATCTGCTCTCCTGTCATTCCGTTCAAAAAGTCACAGACTGAGCACCCTGCTCTTTATTTAGAGATCTTCTCATTCTCCATTCCCTTTTAAGCACAAGTCTAACAAGTACTAGATGTTCTAGTATGTTCAACAGAGATGAATCATAACTCTGACTCTTGAACATCTCATTAAGACAAAACAGTGACACTGACTGATTTTCTATAGCACCACTATAACAACCCCAACTTAATGGATAGTTCATTAAAAGTATATGAATAAATAATTACAACAGTTAATTTACTCAGAGATTTCGATTACTTATATTCATTCATTAATTCATTTTCTTTGCAGCTTAGTGCCTTTATTAATCCGGGGTCGCCACAGCAGAATGAACCGCCAACTTATCCAGCACATCTTTTACACAGCAGATGCCCTTCCAGCTGCAACCCATCTCTTGGAAACATCCATACACACTCATACACTATGGACAATCTAGCCTACCCAATCCACCTATACCGCATGTCTTTGGACTGTGGGAGAAAACGGAGCACCAGGAGGAAACCCACGCGAACGCAGGGAGAACAAGCAAACTCCAACTGACCCAGCCGAGGCTCAAACCAGCAATCTTCTTGCTGTGAGGCGACAGCACTACCAACTGCGCCACTGCGTCACCCATAATAATAATAATAAAAATACTAAATACATATCAGACATTGCTAGTTATCTTAAGCTGTTATTGAAAATTGTCACAGAAACCCAAATAAGCATCAACCAATGTGTTTCTAGAAGCAAAACATTTTTGTGGTTTTGTTTGGGAATGAATCAGCATTTCTGATCGAATCATTGAACGAATACCAAATGCTTACACAAAAAAATGAGAGGTCATATTTTCGTGAGTCAGCATCGCAAACTTCAGCCTTTATTCTACAGTCAATAGCAACAACAACAACATCATCATCATCATGTTAATGTACCGCAGACAGCAAAGAAGCGATTTTGAGAGTGTGCTTACCTCTTCTGTTTGAGGAAGATTGATGGGCACCGGTTCTGTTGGTCCAGTAGTGCTGGGAGGGACACTGAGATTCCATTCATTAACAGGAGGAAATGACTCTCTGCTTTTAAGGCTTGAATCCTCTATGGGTTTATCCTCAGTATCCTGAAGGCTCACTTCATAATATTCCTGGATGTCTGAAAGAATTATCAGGTCGCATGAGATTTATTTGAAAATGCAAATTACACTCATCTTCTTTACATTACTAGCAATCAAAATTGGCCGTGCTGCACATAATGTCCCTTCACACACACATAGCAGGTGACATGCTATAAAACACTAAGGGTTTCTGTGTGCAGTAGAGTAAGACTCTGTTTAAGTTTATGTTTTCACAAAATAACTTTATTTTTGGTTTTCAAAGGCACTTGAGTCATTATAGCCAATAATTAATTAAAACACCCCGATAGACAATAATAACACCCTGAAACAGAAATACTCCTTATGACAAATACTCTAAGTATGTAAAAAAAAAATTGTGAGAGGGGGATTCAGGTAAATATAAATTTATGCAAGATCAAATTGTGGTACATCACTAGTCCTAAAATAGTCAAGTTATTATATTAGTGGTAGAATAAAAAGATGCTATAAATTACAAAAGGAAAAGTCATGTTGCTTTAACCATTTTACAACTGCAATAAACTCATTACAGGATCAAAAACAACGTATTTCTAAAAATAATAATAATAATAAATAAAATTACAGTCACACTATTATTCCTCATGTTATTCCTTGTGATGCTGTATAAAAAATTGTGATGGTAAGCAAAGTATGCTAAGATAGATGCATATTTCACACTATTATATAAATATATAAATACTACTTTACATTAATAGTCTTATCAAAATTACTGCATGGAATTTCAGCTAATCTCATTAAACAGACACTTTACAAATAATTGTTTGTTTATGTTTCTCTTGTACTTGGTTTAGTTTATGGCTTTTATTCTTTAACAGACTTTTTAAAAATCCCAATGTGAACAATGTATTATTTCAGAACCAGCACTGCTGAAAAAGTTGGCATCCCCTAAAGGAGAGATCCCTCCGTATTAACACTAGGGCAGGCAGTAGAAAACAAATATACAAAACATTCCAAGTTATTTTTCACATCTATTTCTAGACGTTTCTTTCTTTTTTAAACAGCAAAATGCTTATAACAAATAATTTCCTCTTCCATTTTATCTTAATTACTTAAACTTTCAAATGAGCCAGCTTAAAAGTGAAATTCAAAGGATATTCCCAAGCTGACAAAATCTAAAGAAAAAAAATACTTTGAATGACCGAGCACAAAAAATGTAGGCCTATTCTACATACTTTAAACTGCATTCCCACATTCCCAGCAAATACAAGCCAAGACACCTTTCTTAAATTGATTTCCTTTTCTAATCTAAGCTTTGCAAATACTGCATACGTTTTTATTGACATTTAATTGTCAAATAGTTGTGTATTTGAAAATACAATAAAACTAATAACATTGTGAAATAATATTCAATGTCAAATAACAGTTCCATGTAAATATGTATTAAAAATAGTGTTAAAAAAATTTGTTTTATATATGCATGCATGTCTGTTTTATATATGCAAAATAAATATATACAAGGTACACACTAACCTTTCAGAACAAACTTTTATTTTGGATGTGATTAATTACAATTCATTTTTGCCCAGCACTAATTAAAATATAAATTATTCTTGTGCTTAAAAGCTGAATTCTCAGCATCATCCTCAGTGTCACATGATCCCTCACAAATCATTCCATATGCTAATTTGCTGCAAACATGACCTGAAAATATTATAAATTCTGCTCTTTTGATCAATTTGATAGGTGTTTTATTAACTAAGCCTATTTGTAAAAAATATTATATTATTTTACGCTGGTTTGTATTTATATATGTAAAATAAATATACACAGTACACCCAATTAACTATGTCAAAACAAACTTTAATTTTGGATGCAAATAAGCACACATCACAAATTTTAATCAATTATTAAAATATAAACAATCCTTGTGTTAAAGCTGAATTTTCAGGATCATCCTCAGTGTCACGTGATCCTTCATAAAATGATATGCTAATGTGCTAATTGCTACAAATATGACCTGAAAACATAATAAACTTCTGCACTTTTGATTAATTTGATAGGTATTTGATTATTTTAAAAAAAAATGCTTGCAATGAAAAGAAAATGCATATGTAGGTAATGGAAATATGGACGCCATAATTTAAAAATGCAATGAGTAACATTTTACTGATTTATAAAATTCTGACTTTTCAAAACTGTCTATATAAAAGTAGTCTGTAATTTGTACAGAAAATCATCCAGCTTTAACATAATGTTTGCCTACAACACTAATAAAGTTAGAAAAGAAAAACACTGCTGTAATACCACTGAACTTGTCAAGCACAAAACAAAACAGTGAAGTAAAACCTGTTCCACCATTTCAAGCCGAACAAAAGAAATGCAAAGAAACCTCAAGGAAAACACTGGCAGTGTAACTTACCTACAAGAGCCTGGAAAAGTGTACTCTTAAATATGTTTATGACCCTCTCGATTGACAGTCTGAGATGAGGATCTCCAGTCTGACTGAGTTTAGTTTGGTATTCCTCCAAAAGCTGCAGTGCCCGCTGAGCATCTGAAAATATCATTATAAAGACTGCTGAGAAACATGTGCATAACAAATAATACAAATAGGCTATTAAAGTAGACTATATATTTAGAAAATAAAGTACTAGAACTTAAGGATAAAATATTGACTAGATAATATTAAAAGGCTATACAGTTTATAAATAAACCTCACCTTTCTGTCTCACAGGCATGATGAAGATTCAAAGATTAAACCCCTAAACTAAATGAAGCGACTGGCGTCAAGCATTGGGAAGAATGACGGATCACTTTCACTTTCGGTCGAGTCGCTTTGATTTCGCAGTGACCCACAATCACCGGTGATCGCTGACCGGGTCAATCTGACATGCGAGAGTGAAAGCTCGATATAAACAATCCGACAGTCTGATGAAAACTATAAACGATCTCTTCATTCATAACAGGTCAGATGGAGCAGGACCTTTCAAGGAACTTTCAAACAACTCTGCACTTTCACAAACTTTCCGCAGACAAATGAATGAAGCAAATCACAGAATCGCGATGTGCATTACAAAGATTTGGGGAAACAAATCCTTCCGATGTGTTGCAATGGAAAAAGTGTTGGAACTAATAGTCCCTTTTGAAGAGGAAGTAAAGTTGACTCGCAGACTCTCCGAACATCTGTCCCGTTCCCTCCTGACTGAAGTCCTGGATCCGCACACGTCCGTAATCCAAACTTCTTCGGCGCTACACTTCCTCTTTCTTTCTAGTGTCCGAAATTCCCAAACTTTCCTGCAAAATGGCGACCTTGATATGCAAAGGGATCACATGATCTACTGATCTACTGCCTTCCCTCTGCGCTCAGAGGAATGGGCGCTCAGGTTTCTTCACTCAGCCGCCGCGAGACAGTGGAGGACTTTATTACATTTATCTTCACTTTGAGTAATTAAATCTAAAGAAACTAGGTAAGGACCGCAGAACATCAGTCTTGTTCACAGTATGGAGGAAATGTAGACTATATTGTGTGCTGTATCTTTATTCTTATCTTCATTTGTGTCTTTTTAAGCAAAAACTTTATTTTGTATATAACTTAGCTTAGCTTATTTATTTATGATTCTTTTAGTGTTTACAACATTGTGGGAAAAATAATTTACGTGAGATCACATCAATCCTCATCATAATCCATTAGCGTGTTTCTGCAAATGAAAATGGCTGTGATTGAGGTTTGAAGTGTCCTGAATTACCAGCTGGAATGATCAAAATCCTGCTTTACTTACTGATTGCCTGTACTGAGATTGGCCAATGCAGAAATATAATATTAAATATGTCCTTGCAAACTTTATATTGCATGTTTTTCTCATAAATTGCTGAGAGCCTATCCTATAGACCAAAATCATATTTTACTATAGATTTTTTTTATGTAGCCAGTAAAATCAAATCAATTTTTTTTATTGACACACATTAAATAAACAATGTGCGCAAGCTGTGTAATAAGCATTTACATAAAGACATGGTTTTGATATAACAATAATGATTACTCTTACATGCCGATAGAGTGCATATGTCATTTGCAAATAAGCATTTCCTTTCATGACTTATTACACATTAGTAAATTGCATTTATGATTTGAGCCGATGATTAAACTTTAAAAAAATAGACTAACTAAATTTTGTAGTGACTCTGTGCAAAATAATCATTCCTTCATTTTAATAAACTGCCAACTTATCCAGTATATGTTTTAGGCAGCTGGTACTCTTCCAGCTGCAACCCATCACTGGGAAACAACCATATACTCTCATTCACACACATACACTATGGACAATTTAGCCTACAAACTTCACCTATAACGCGTGTCTTTGGATATGTGGGGCAAACCGGAGCACCTACAGGAAACCCACACCAACATAGAGCATGCAAAGTCCACACCGCGTGCACCATACAAAATAATAGTTTCATATTCACTTGTTGTAAACTTTACTTGGTCACATTATATGGTCTCATTTATTCACTATCATGTGGTTAAATATTTTACAGATACAATTAGCATATATTCAAAATATTTTATACAGTCAGAATTATTAGCGCCCCTTTTTCTATTATTTTATAAATGCTTACCCTAACCTAACCCTAACCCCCTAACCCTAACCCAAATGATGTTTAACAGGCCAAGGGAATTTTCACAGTATGTCTGATAATATTTTTTCTTCTGGAAAAAGTCTTATTTGTTTTATGTCGGCTAGAATAAAAGCAGTATTAAATCTTTTAAACACCCTTTTATGGACAAAATTATTATTATAAATTTTTTTTGATAGTTTTCAGAACAAATCATCGCTATTCAATAACTTGCCTAAGTACCCTAACCTGCCTAGTTAACCTAATTAACCTATAGTTAAGCCTTTAAATGTCACTTTAAGCTGTATAGAAGTGTCTTAAAAAATATCTAGTCAAATATTATTTACTGTCATCATGGCAAAGATAAAATACATCAGTTATTAGAAATTAGTTATTAAAACTATTATGTTTAGAAATGTGCTGAATTTTTTTTCTCTTTTTTTTCTCTGTTATAGAAAAAATAACAGGGGGTCTAATAATTCATGGGGGCTAATAATTTTTCAACTGTATATACTTGTATGTATAAACTTGAACTGTATATATAATTTTTTTCCCATAAATGTTATTCACATAAGGCATCACATAGATCAAAAACATATTTTACATAGATACAATTTTTATAGCTTATAAAGTTTTATCTAAAATCGACCCTTATTAAATAAATTATAAGATATGCAAGGATAATAATAAACAATAATAAACATATAAGTATAATAAAATAATAAACATTTATATAATGTTTAATAATATACATTTATATAGACTATAATAATAAACAATATTCATTTGTCTAATAAACATTTACATAACGACATAGCTTGGATATGAATAGTTTTAAAAACATGAGTTTATAATTACAATAACAGGCCGATATATATGAGATTTGCAAATGAGCGTTTCATTTCATCAGTAAATTATGTTTCTATGATTTGAGACATGATTAGACAAAAACTAAAAAGACTAAAAACTAAAATTTATAGTGACTCCATGAAAAACAATATTTTATTAAAATATTATGTTCACATGTTGCATAACTGTACTTGTCTCATTGTATGCTCTCATTTATTCACTATTACTGTATGTGGTTAAATATTTATTCAGTGTTTAATGCAAATTAGTTTAATCATTTAGTTCTGAAAAAAAAAGATTTTGTTTCATAAATGGTGATAAATCCAGTGTCATCCTATCAATGGCACACTGTTACAAGCAAACACAAAGTGTGTCTATTCGCTCCAGCTTTTGTTAGTTGTTTTGATGTTTGAAATGGCTTTTGTCATTTGAATCTTGTGAAGGGTGGATGTCGAGTCACAGGGTGCTGTCACATTGCCACAGTTTGGGTGGGGTGAAGTCTGCCACACACACACACACACACACACACACACACACACACACACACACACACACACACAAACACACACACACACACACACACACACACAGACACACACACACACACATACACATACACACACACATAAAACAGTGGTGTCTTTTTAAAAACGCCCAGTAGAGTTATTTTCTAGAGCATTGCAGACACAAAGAAACTATGGTATGAATGGCCGTACAAGCAGTAAATATTCACAGATTTACAATGTCCCATTGATAAAAAATGTGTACAAATTCAAAGCCGAATGAATACCATGTCTGAGCGGTATTTCCACAATTTTGATAGATACTTCTGCCGCCCACACAGTTTGACAAGCCTGGTCTTGACTGCTTTTATTGTCTGGATATGCTTAGTGAATGCATTCTTACTATACAAATTCTATGCAAAATCTCAACCTGTTTTTCACACAATTCCTTATAAATGACCCAGACTGTTTGACATTAAAGTTGATAATATCACCACTGACTATTGTAGACCCCATTTCACCTCTGTAATATGCATATGTATCTTTATTTTTCAGTTATATACAGAAACTTACTTCTGTGTAGCTTTAAATAAATAAAGCTTCCATCCTTCAGTGGCTATGTATAATTACAGTTGCACACACCCATTGCTTTCTTTGGAGGCCTGTAAGTGAAGAGCCTTGACATGGAATGCGTGTCTGTAACCGGACCTGAGCACTTCTATCCCTTGATATCGAAACAAGGGGGCTTAATAGAGCATACACATCACATGGGCTGGCCAATAATGAAGAGCATTTTAAATGACTGGAAATGAACCAAGGATGTGTATCAGATTCAGATATTAGAATACAAACCACACACATAGTCTGTTTACTGATTTTTAAATTAATATTGTGATGTACACTCAACAAAAAAAGGCAAAATAGTTTTAAAGAAACACTACACTTTTTTTGGGAAATAAATAAAAATCCACATTTTACAACTGAAGTGTTGGGCATCACAGCAAGAAGGTTGCTTGTTTAAGCCCCGGCTGGGTCAGTTGACATTTCTGTGTGGAGTTTGCATATTCTCCCCGTGTTGGTGTGGGTTTCTTCCCGGTGCTCCGGTTTCCCCCACAGTCCAAAGACATGCGAGTATAGGTGAATTGAATAAGCTAAATTGACTGTAGTGTGTGTGAATTCAAGAGTGTATGGGTGTTTCCCAGTGTTGGGTTACAGCTGGCAGGGCATCTGTTGTGTAAAACATGTTGGATAAGTTGGCGATTTGTTCCAGTTCCAGTTTTTAATCCATTCAGCTAATTTCCTTGTGGAAGCACTTTTAGCTTAGCTTTGCATAAATCATTAAATTGGATAGAACGTTAGCATCTTACTCAAAAATGACCAAAGAGTTTGGATAATTTTTTGATTTAAGGCTGGAATATTCACTAGGTACATTGTGTATTAAGACAGATGGAAAAGTTGACATTTTTTAGGCTCATATGACTAACTATACTCGTATTATGGCTTAATAATTAAAGAACTTTGTTGCTGTACCATGGCTGCAGCAGGCACAATGATATTATGCCACACATTAAATAGTCCCCAGAATCAAGCCCAAGTCTTATGCACACTATGAGCGACTCGCAGTGGCGCCATGCTACTTGAGCAACTTCTGACAACATTTGTCTATATGAGCCACTGCAACTGTTGGCGACCAGGTGGGCGTGTCAAGCGATGCTACAAAGTTCAACTTTATGCAAATGAAGAGCTTCAGCAAAGCTCACATGATTCTCTCTCAGCTCGCTCAGAGGCTGGTTGTATTCGTGCTGTATAGACCTACAAAATCCTACGTTTGCAGCATGTCGCCACCCAGAGAGACGAGCAGCTACAAAGTCGCTGCTAGTGTGAATGAGGCATTACTAGCACCACCAGTTATCTGCACTGCAAAACATGCTGTAAAATGTACAGTATTACTGGCAATTTTGTTTGTCAGTAATACTGTAAAATTTAAAAGTGCACTCTACTACAATGTGAAACCCAAAAAGTTAAGGTAACTCAAACCATTTGACGAAAAACCATTTAAAAGTTCAAAAACAAATCCTAAAGAGTACAGTGAACTTAATACATTTGAGTAAATGAAGCTATTTGAGCACAGTAAAGAAAAGAGAACTCAAATTAACTGAGTACTGTAAAACCCAATAAGTTAGGGCAACTCGAACCGTTTCAGGAAACCGATTGCTACAATTCATTTCAATTAAAAAAGTAATCTATAGTATTGTGAACTTACTTAATATTAGTTAAAATAATTGGGTATTTAATTAACTCATCACTTTCA